AAAAATAACTTTTGGTATCTTTCCATACATATATATATATATATAGATAGATAGATTGGAGAGGAGTTTGTAAGCTCCATTAGGGTTATCATGGAGGTATGGCTAGCCTTTGGCATTGTACATTGTGTAGGTACAATGATATCTTTGTGTTATGTAGTCTCTGTGTTAACCTATATCCTCTTCATCGCTTTAATTTTACTTGCAAGATTTCGTCATACTGCCTATTAGATATCGTGGCAATTTTATTTGAACATAGTTTTAATTTCGGTAATTCGATAATCAGTGGTATTTATCAATCTATAAGAACACCTGACTAACTAATTAATTCAATGGATGCGGAAGCCATTGATCTTTATTCAGATATTAATTTAATAAATATCTGACTTTTTTCAAAGTTCTTCGTTCTTCTGCTACTTATGGTTTTCTTTCATTTTCTTGTTAGCAGTGAATTTTATACATTCAGACCGTTCGGCGGATTTCTAGTACAACGAATCCCCTAATGATACCGATGACTCCGGATGGCTAGCTTCATTTTTATCTACTTGTTCTTAAAGTAGAAAAGTAACTCATAGTAATTTCCATACAAAGTACTTCACCTGATTTACAGAACCATGGTTCTTGGCTTTTAATGAGTTTTACCAGTTTAAAATGAAATACTTCTTTTTCTATGCTTAGTTAAAACCTTAAGATATCAATTCAGTCACCGTTTATGCGACTAAACAGTTACTAGTCTTGTAAACAGGGGTGTTCAGTTTGGATTTCCTGTCATAATATCATCGATTAATTAATGTCACTTTACAGGTTGTCGAATTTGGGTATGCATTTTTTGCGAATCGCAGGCTTATAACTGTCTTCTCAGCTGCACGATATCATGAGGATCTCTGTAATTTTGCTGCTGTTGTCGTTGTTAGTTAATTAAAATTATTTTCCTTTATCAGTTAGATATTTTCGTCAAAATGGGAACTGTTTTTAATTTCATAACCAATGTAATTTTTATTTTAATTCAGGTTTAATTGTCATTTTCTCTTATATTTGTTTTGTTTCATTAATGTTAAGCATTTTTAAACAATCAATTATTGTAGGGATTAATGAAATATTTTCAGTGTGATGTAAATTTTAATTGAATTCAAGTACAATTATAATTCATGGTAAATCAGTTTATTCTGAAATACGAATCGTAAACCTGAAATATGATCCGCAAATAAATGATGTAAATAGAGTAAATATGCATAACAACGCAGATATTGACATCGTTACCAAAAGGATACCTTTTGAAGAAGTGAAAAAAAGCTGGGACATTTGTGAAAGCAAGCACAAAAGGTATTATTCATGGTTTTTCAGGTAGATAGCCATCTCGAATTATCATTCCTACAACTTAAGCCAAGCGAATATGAGCAGCAACGGAAGGAAAAGCTTGTACCGACAGCAGACGTTGAAGATGATCTAGAGGATGATAAGATTTGAATAAATATAAAAATATAGATCACAACAGTTATTTTGAATTAATTAAATTAACTAGTAATGGAGCCAGTTGAACCACACTGATGTGATTTGTCATTTTCAAAACATAATTAGTCAGTAAATTAAAATATTCATACCCGAACTTCTTGTTTTCACAGAAAATTCAGCTCAAATAATTAAATATTTGAAATGTATGCATTTCTATATACTTTAATATATAAAATGTAGTACGGTAATATTTAAATAGTGATGGAATGTAGTCGAAACATTAGCCTTAGATATATTAAGCAAGAGATTGTCTCATGCCACCTGATGAGGATTTGATTGATCAGTAAATGGATCAGCTGAAAGATCGTTATTACATCATTGCGCAGTGCTACTAATGTTATCCAACTATATGCAATAGTTATGCTATCATCAATAAGGCAATGATTAATTGGTAGGTTTAAATGATCTCAATCATCCGTTTACTAGCTGATAAATATGTAGGAACAGGGGAAAATATTTACTTCAGAATCGAATTTTTACATCAATTTTTTGTGTGACGTAAAAATGTGTCACATCACTTTCGAGCGATTCTTGTGTTGGTCTAAAAAAATTAAACATACAAAAATGTTCCACCAAAAAAAGATGACTCGAAGTTCCAAAAGGATCAGTTACTTTACTTGATAATTGAGAGAAGAAAGAGTATAACAAAATAGAAATCTGCTAATTCAAATCCAATTAAATAGGCCTAGAATATTGCAACGAATCATAAAGACGATCTTTTTTTCTTTTTTTTTTTAATTTCACGGAAAGAAATTTCAAAAGGAATGCTACAGTTTCTCATCCATCATTACAATTATCAAATAATCTAAGTTTTATGATTCTTTCAAAGCATACAGTATTAGAAATGCTTAGTTTTGAAGGGAATTCCAAAATTTCATTAGCAAGCTGAAATAAGTGGCGTACTTCCACTTCTGGTAATTTCATTGTCGATTCGAATAAAACATAAAAATATGCTGCTTGCAAAATTTAATAAAACCATTCGTCCCAAAAAAAGAAAAATCCGCTTTCGTTTTCGTTTTATTTTTTTTTCTCCACCTTTTCCAAAACGAATAAAGAAATTTCATTGGAATTTCATACTTTCTCCGAAAATACAAAATAAATGTCCCGAAAATTTTCGTAATAATTGGATTGTTTGGGAAGGAATTTATTTACAATTTTTTTCCTTTTTTTTCTCACCGTTTTGGATATGATAAGCAAACTTTTACGCTGCAATAATTTTAGAAATGCAAATTAAGAATTAGCCCAGAAAAATTGACGTACATAATAGATATGAGGTTCATTCTTTCATTTTCAAAAATAAAGACTTATTTTTGAGAGGGAGACTTAAGGCTAGCGCTTGAATAGATTTGTTCTTGGTTACTAAAAGTAATCAAAGTAGCCAACTTTTTCATTCTTAAATATCCCGCAATATAATGAATGTTTTTTATGGTACTTATAGCAACGAACATAGCTATTTCTTTTATAGAAACAGCTAATTTCAATTAAAAGAGAGACAGCGGAACAAAAAGTGGAATTTTCCTTAAACAATGCTGCAACTACCAATCCTTAAAATGTGGGAAAAAAAGCTAAAAGGGTTTACTTTTTTCCAAGTGGCTTTTTCCTTTTTGCTTTTTTTTCCGGGAAAATTTGTTGCATAATGTGAAAAATTCGAAAAAAATTTACAAATTTGCTCAGAAAAAGGAAAAATTATAGTACACAAAGAAAGTAATTAGACGTGAAGTGAACAACTATACTGAATACTGAAGGAGAAGTTCAAAACTGACTAATTGATCCTATTTTCCTTTCTCTGATGGTTCGGAATGTGTTGCGCCACCTGAAAAATTAATTTATATTTTCGGCATTGATTGATATTATTCCTGAAAAGATTCGTCATTTAGTAGTTTTATTTAATTTAATATTCAAGAACTTGAACATTGACAATTTCAAGTCATAATTATTGATCACGTTCTCCTTATCTTATCATGCAAATATTGAACATTTCGATACTATCACAAAGTAGAACTGATAGTGTTGAAAGAACAGTCGTTAAAGGAATGGCCGTTGGAAGCACTGTTGAAGACAGTGTTTTTGAGAATTTAATGTAAGTCACGAAATTATTAATTGTTGCTTATTGCTTGGCCATAAAGCGATAAAAAAAAGTTGAATGATTGTTTGGCAAAATGATCGATGTGAAAGGATGTAATCTCGAGCAATTAATTATTATTTCAGGAAGAATGATATATTTGATAAATGGAAAATTCCATTTACTCCTTTCTATCATTATAACTCATTCAATTTTGATAAGAAAAAAGGAAAAATTTGAAGGATTTCCAAACTTTAAGACTATTTAAATAGAAAATATCATAAGTAACTGTAATTAAATTCACTTCATTGAACATGAAATGATAGATAAACCTTACCCCAGAGCATAACATTCAGTGTATCGCCAAAAATATACAGAAGCCATAAAAAGATGAAGGATATGAAGAACATCATGATAAATGATATTACTGATAAATATTGCATGAATGGATAAAGCCAGTAACCATCAAAATAGCGTACTCCAAAGATGCTGAAAGAATTGAGAATTAATACAAGATTTGAAGTCATGACACAGACTTTTTTTTGTAATCAAAAAAAAAAATGATATAAGTGGAAAGTTAAAAAGTTAGAGATAACCTAAAGTTAGAGATAACCTTTGACAAGCTTCCTAAAACAATTATGTGTTTAGTTATCGTCATTAAGAAGCATAATTTTAAGCAGTAATTCCCTAACCTATATGATAAAATTGTTAGGATATACTTTTAATTTTATCATGAAATTTGACTCTTTGAGATGGTTCTATTTAATGGAAGAAATTTAAAAGTTACTTTTGTAGAAGTTAAAAAAAAAAGAAACTTACACACAGAAGTAGAACACAACTAGCGCACCAATGATAATGGTACCATTCTTTCGTGAAGGTGCTCGATGACAAGTTAAAAGTGTATCAACCAGAATGAACGGTAATGGTGCCGTATGGGTAATATGATTCAGGAACGGTGGAATTAACTCTTCGATCCATTTTGGCATTACTAATGTTGGCTCCAAAGTATATAAAGACCAAAAAACTAAACAGGTCGTCTGAAAAATTCACATTTTCTTTTAATCAGAAATTCAATAAAATTATTTTTTTTGAATAGGATACTTCTATATTTTCAATATTTTTGCTCAGTTTATTTCGAATTAATCAAATATTAAAGTTCATCGACCTGAATATTATTGAAGATAATAACAAATAACTTTGGATGGTACCCAATCAGTCCTTTTTTTTTCCGTCTAATACGGTTCTTCCGCAATTTCAATGCTTATTGATAAGTAGAATGAGCGGAAAGGAAGAATAATGAGATGGGAATGGAAGTTTTGAATATATGACAACAATGGCTTTGTTTAATTTCATTTGACATTCGAAATTTATTAAAAATTAATCGAATAAACGTACAGCACCAACAGGTAAAACGCTAGTGAAGTACATGAAATCGGAAATTTGATGAAGTTTTGAATTTCGCCAATAACTTGGTGTCGTTGGATGTTTTTTATGTGGCCCACGATCGGTTGTTTCACATAATGTATCCATCAGTGCACATATGAAACACATCGCATAATATATTGTTTGTAAAACCTGAAATTTTAATTTAATTGAAATAAACATCAAATGAAATCATTCATAATATCATACATGCTTCTGAGAGTTAGTTTGGCGTAGTGAATATAACAAAGATAGAAATTAATGCTGAGGATAATTGGAAAAAGGATGTAAATAATAATTAAAATATTAAATAACGGAAATTCCGGATTCATGGGAGTTCCTCAAAACCGGAATGAATAACATACAATCTAATGAATCTGGAACATTATGATGAATAATTTTGGATGACAAGTTTTACTGATGATCTAATAAATCCTTTTTTTTGAAATTTTGATATTTAATATATTTTTACCGATGATCTAATAAGTTACTTTTTGAAATTTTGATAATATATTTATTGCTGGACGTAATTTTACGTTAGAAATTTTATAAAACTATAAAATTTGTTTCATTCTACAAAAATTTCTTAAAATTTTATTAGCATCAGAGCCAAAGATCATCAAACAAAGCGAAACATTCACTCTCTAAAAAATACAATTCCAATTAATAATCCAATTAATTTGATTTGTTTTATATTTACAAAACTTTGAAGGTTTGAAAGAAATATGTCTTAAAATTCCTCATTTGGAGAAGCGAAAAAAGTGCGCCTATTAGTTTGGAAGGAAAAATTTAGTATGGAAACTTTACTGATAATAAATTTGTTTATTTCATATTTCCTTTTAATATTTTTATTCATACTAAATTTATTCCTTCCAAGTAAATAGACACTTTTTCAAATATTTCACAATACTAAAAAGAAAATGAAATAAAGTATCATTTCGACTCTTTCTCTAGAGAAGAATTAAAGTTGAGTGAATGCTCTAAAGTCAGATATTTTACGCAACAAAAAAGATTTAAGTGTAACACATGATACTGGTTGCTTATACATGTAAAAAGATTTAAATGTGACACGTGATACTGGCTGCTTATACACGTAATACGTGGTGATTTGCGATATTCATGAGGATACTGAAGTTTGAGTTTCTTAATTTTTTTTTTAGTTTGATTAATTATTTCTGTCCCCATCAAAATAAACTTTTTAACTGAGATTTTGTGAAATATTTGGAGAGAAAAAAATTTTAATTAGGGACTCCCTAATTAGAGATTTTTCTTTTCAATTAGAGATTTCCTTCTTTTTTATCTCTCTCTCGTTATTTCGACTGGCTTATTGAGCTTATTTGGACACTGGATACTGTCGCATTACGACCGATTTATTGAGTTTATTTGGATATTGAATACTGTCGCATTACGGAACAAACTAGAAACAGATAATACCATTCTATGACCTTTGAAACGTCACATATCGTTTTATTTGAGCAATAAATCAGTCGAATTAAAAATAATAAGGAGGAGAAAAATTTGTTTTTCTTTTCGTTCACTTGCCCATTTTTGTTTGTTTTTGTTTACTTTGTTCACTTTTATTTAAATTTATGACATATTTGAGTTTAGGTCTTCTTCTCTGCTAAAGTCTTTTAGTATTGCTGCATAACTTTTTCAAAAATTTTTCCCACTCTTTGTTCAAAAATGAGAAGAATTTGTAAAACTCCTGAAATTCAAAAAATTTTACAATCATTGCCTCTTTTTCAATTCAATATAAATTGTTCGAAATTCCTAATTAGACGAATAATTAAAGAGATTGTACATGGCGAATCACTGAAATAGGAAAGTATTAATAGGAAAGTAGTGGAAAAATTCTATTTTGAATAAAGCCTGATGAATTTGAATTGTGGTATGAAAGTTAAATTGAAATATTACTTGATATAAATTTAATGACAACTAAACTTTTCTTGATAATACAATTTTTTCGTAATTTCATGTTTTTAACAAAGGAAGAAAAATCATTACAATCGCTCAATTTCTAAATATTTCCTAAAAGGTGTACCTAATCTGGTTTTTTCTTCTAATGTTGAAGTTAATTTCATTGTGAATCAACTTTCACTTTCGGTTTTTTTCATTTAATTTGAAATTTTTGTGGAAATGAAATGAGAACTAACCAAATTGCTCATTGTTAGCATAACAAGTTTGTAAATCCACCAGGTATGTCCAACCCGTGGCATATAAAGGATATCATAACCAAGCGCATACAAGAAGACACCAGCCATAATGCCATATATTGTCACACGAAAAACACCCATCTAAGAATGATTAATTTGATTAAAACAAGAAAAATAAATGAAAAATAAAAAATGATATTATCAAAATGTCAACTACATAAAATGATAACACAAGATATAGTCATTATTACAAATAAATGATAGGAGGATGATTGATAAGAGAGTTGAAATAATTTCAAAATTTTTTCACTAAATTAGTTTTAAATGCAACAAATATGGTTTCAAAAGTATCTTAGGACTATCAAATCAACGAACATGAAAACAAAATTTCGATAAAAAAGTTGCGTCGCTGATTATTTAAACAAATGGAATAAGCCGGGAAGGAATTCGGTTACTTACTACAAATATTTTAATATCAATCACTGATATTTCTCGTAGTAAATTCAATAAAATTTGCTATCTCTTGCTAAATATTATCGCTTTAACAACGAAATGTTTTCAAATTTTCACGTATATCATACATATTATATCATATCAAATATATAGAAGCAATTCTGCATATATCACAAAGTTACACTTATAGGTTGCTAGCTAAGTGAGATGAGATATCAGTATGTTATATGAGATATCATATCATATTATTACCGCAATATTAATTATATTTGCTGATAACAACGAGGTAACAACGCATTTTTGAGCTTTTAGGTAGCAAATCACGAGCAGATTGGATGAAAGAGTGATATGATATTTGATTCTTAAGCACTACTTACCCAATCATTTCTTAAATTTATGAAAGTTTTAGATAATAAATTTGAAAAAAAATTGGCTATTTTTCAACATTATTTATTCACTTTTTTTCTCAAATATTATTTGCTGAGATTTCCACTCTTTTAAAAATAAAATATGTTGTTTAATCAATGCTTAAATAAAAGAAAAAAGAAAGAATAGGAAAGGCAGCATTTGTAATTAAGTAATATTTCGGGGAAATTAATCAGAATTCGAATTACATATATGTATATATATATATATATATATAGTTAAAATACATGTAATATGGACAGCACTTTTGAAAATAAAGAATTAAATAATAGATTATCGAGTTATGCAATAGGATAATAGTTTTAGGAAATTCGATCTTTATTTCATTCCATTTTGACAATAATACGTGAGTGATAAAAGTATGAAAGTACTGATAAAGTAATGATAAAAGAATGAAAGCAATATTGCGGAAAACTTTAAGAGCCAAGAGTAGCATTTTGTGCAATCAATTAACTAATTAATGAAAAGAATACAAAATATACGTACATTTAATAAGAAAAAGTAACTATAATCTTGTTTCAATGATATGATGTAATTGTAATATTGTTGATGTAATTCAATCAAGCAAAGATTTATTTTAAGTAAATCTTTTTTGTAAAAAAGTTTTTTTTGTTGTCGTTTTCACGAATTCTTTTCAATAAATTGTAAATATTTGAATAACAATGATTATTGCAAAAATGGATGAAAAAAGAAAATTTACAAAAAAAATTTTGCTTAAACATTTTATTTATATAATTTAATTACATTTTTTTGTGTTTATTTACATTATGGTATTTATTATTATTATTATTATTATTATTATTATTATTATTATTATTATTATTATTATTATTATTATTATTATTATTATTATTATTATTATTATTATTATTATTATTATTATTATTATTATTATTATTA